ATCCCTGGGGGAATGAGGAAGTGTGGCTTCCCTGATCTCTTGCTCTGCCTTCTGGGAGCAAAAGTGGAGAAGGAGCACAATTTACRTGAAAAACTAAATCAAAGCCCTTCCCAGGCCCCTTCGTCCAGGTAAAGACAATCTGATGGAGTACCTGGTTCCTGCAGTGGACACGTGYAATTGGGCTGGCTGTACAAGGCACTGGGGCACTGCCCAAAGGAGGGGAAGGATGGTGCCCTGCTGTGAAGGTAAGCAGCAGCCTGCAGAGGGCCTTTGGCCTACAAGGAGACTCCTCACCTTAAGAGGAAGGAGAACGGAGGATGGAGCTGGGTAGACCTGTGTAGAACTGGGCCTTGGAGAGGCTGTGTGCAGGTGGAGGAGTCCAGGAGTCCAGGAGCCCAGCTACACGCAGTCAGATGCTCCCAAAGACCACAGGCATGGCTGGGACCTCGTTTTAGTTAGCTTTTTCATTGCTGTGACTAAAAGACCTGACCAGCACAACTGGAGGAAAGGTTTATTTGAGGGCTCATGGTTTCAGAGGTCTCAGGCCATAGACGGCTGGCTCCATTCCTTGGGGCTTGAGGTGAGACAGAACATCATGGCGGAAGAGTGTGGCAGAGGGCACCAGCCCACATGATGATCAGAAAGCAGAAAAAGAGACACGCCACTTGCCAGAGACAAATATAGACCCCAAAGCCATGCCCCAATTCCCACCTCCTCCAGCCACACCCCACCACTTCAGTTACCACTCAGTTAATCCCTGTCGGGGGATTAATTCACTGGTTGGGTTAAGACTCTCACAACCCAATCATCTCTCCTCTGAACCTTCCTGCATTGTTTCACACATGAGCTTTGGGGCGGGGAGACCTCATCTAAACCATAACAGACCTGGGCAGACTCACTCTTTGCTATCTGATGGATCTCAGAACCAAGCTTCTAGAGAGACCTATCTGCCCTTTTTCCTGTGGTCTCCAGAAAGAACCTTGCGAGCTAGAAAGGTAGGTTGTGCTTGGTAACTTTTTCCAGGGTTAAAAGTCACCTGAGGCATTCTGCAAAGACTGAGGTAAGTAATTCAGACTTGAGTAAGTAAATTAGAAGCGGAATCACTCAGGTATGTGGTTTGTTAGTATGGCTGGATGCGCTTGGAGGTCCTGGGACAAAACTTTAAAGATGGGAATTCTGCTGCCAATTTTAATTAATGTTATTCTTTCCATGGAAGGTGTAGGGGACATTTGTGGCTGAGTTATTGAGTGGCTGATACTTTTTCTCATCCACTGTCCATTCATCCCCACCCCCAGTACCACCCCCATCTCATAAACACAGATCTGGGATTGGACAGCTGGCTGAAGCTGTTTTTGAAAGCTTGTTTTTGAAGGCTTTTGAAGCGTAGTTCATATCCCCATATCCCAGCTACTATCTTCAAACAAATACATGTTGTGCCAGAAACTCTGCTGAGAGTTTTATAATGTTTTTTTTATAAATTCTTTTGTCTATTTTAAATCTTACAATGACCCCAAGACTCAGTGTCCAGGGGGTCCCCTCTGCCAGGAAATGGTAAAACCTAGACTCAAAACTTGGCATGGCTGACTCCAAAACTTTAAGATTTTATATTTTTCTTTTCGTTTGTACTGGTTTCCTCTTCTATTTCTGTCACTCTAAAGCAGTAGTTCTCAAGTTGTGGCAGCAGCAACATCTGGAAACTTAGGAATGTCACTTCTTGGACCCTACCCCGGATCCATTAAGTCAGGAACTCTAGGGTTGGAGCCCAGGAGCCTGTGTTCTGATTCACCCTGCAGACAACTCGGATCCTTGCCGGAGTTTGACAATCACTGCTCCAGAGAAGACTCTTAAATTTTTAGGATAATACTTAAAATTATATGTCTCACAAACATCTAGTCAGTCAGAAGTGAGAGCCTGCTTATCACGTCTACTTCATCACGCAGCTAACTGCTTATGTGGGTGACACAGGACAGTACTTTGAGTTGTTACTAAATCTTTTTCCTATTAAAAATCAGCACTTATTTGTTCATTTTTATGGAGGTATGTATGATTTGCATACAATAGAAAGGCACAGGTCTCAAGTGCAGAGTTTGAATTGTGACAATTGTCATATAACCACCATTCAATCAACCTATAGAAAATGTGCCCCTCCTCCAAGAAATGTCCTTTGTGCCTTTTYGTGGGCGACCTTTATCTTCTCACTTCAAACTCTGATCTAGTTTATACCATTGTAGATTAGACTAATTCTTTCCTAGAGTTTCATATAAATGAAACCATATAGTATATAATCCTTTGTGTCAAACTTCTTTCCCCAAGATAATGTCTGTGAGATCCATCTATGTCTTTATATTTCGTGGGAGAGTATTCATTTTTACTGCCAAGTAGTATTCCCTTGTGTAAATGTGCTATCAATTTATTGATTGAAGTCTGGGTTGTTTCCCAGATTGGAGCTATAATATCTAATATGAAATAGTAGTTTCGTATATATATACCCTCACACTTGAATGATAGCCATCTGGGTTTAATCCTTATTTGAAAGTATTTTCCCTCTTCATTTTAATGTAGTGAACCAGTGTTGCACTCCACCATAATTGGAAAGTCTGATATCAATCTGATTATTGCATTGTTCTTATATAGACAGTTGGTGTTTTTCTTAAATTTGGAAGATTTTTTAATTTCATTATTATTTTTCTTAAATTTTCACCTCTGAGAAAAATATTCTTGACTCTTCCATTTCACAAATTCTCTCTTCAGCAGTGTCCTATCAGCTGTTTAGACCATCTGTTACCTTTGTAATTTTAGAAACTATAGTTTTTAACATCTAAAACTACTCCTTGATTAATTCCATCTATTTCAAACCATCATTTTACTTCTCTGTTAAGAGTTTCAGTGCTTCTAAAATCCCTTTAATCATTTAAACACTCTTGGTTTATAGTCTGTATTTGTGCATTTTATTACCCAAAGCTCTCAGAAATCTTACTTAACTGCTAATTCTTGCTCTTGGTGAATTAGTTTATACGTGTTTTATCATTTTGGATTATAAGCTCATATTCAACATGATATATTTATCCCAGAGAATTCTGATTGGTCTGATTTGAAGGTATTTCCTTCCAGACAGCTTTCACCTTTACTTTGACTCAACATCCCATAGATATCAAAAGCCCAGGGCTCTTTATCTTAGAGTGTCCTTGGCTAGCCTGGAAGCATAAATTCAAACCTCAAGTCAGGATCAGAGCAGGGCAGAATTTTTTTTTAAACCCCTATAGATATCAAACTAAATAGATAAACTTTATTGTTGTCTCTGAGCACATTTGGACTAGTGAATGTGCTCACAGAAGGAGTGGCCCTTCCAGAGTTTGGGCTTTATGCAGGAATATAGGTTTCAACCTCCTGCCTTATACAGGACCAGGGCCTCCTTTCTCCATGCCCATGAAAACCCACGTTCCTGACTTATTGCAATTGGCAACCCCTCCCTTATCTGCAGGGCTCTCCCCCTCAGGCCAGCTTTTCTTCCATTATTTTGGGGGAGACCTAGGGTGAACTCTGTTGGTGGCAGGAGGGGTCATGTGGGTGGCCTTAAATTGAGCCTGGAGGGGAAGACCTACTTCTGCAATCCTGAAGCCTGAGCACGTAGTAGCTTCTGGGTGGACCTCAGAGGATGAATCCCCAAAGCTCCCTTTCTGTCCCGTCCTGTCTAGCTGCCTCAGTTCATTTCCCATCTGCCCCCCTCACCCCACCTTGACCTTTTGATAACAGCTGAGCCCTTTTTCACCGGGGCGTCTTCCTGACTCCAGTGTATATTTGCTGAAAGATAAACGTGTTGTTTTACATCCCTCAAAGCACACAGGCAGAGCCATTTACCTAGATTTCACAGCAGAAGAATACATGGGTTACAGCAAAATAGCCCCAGCAAAACGGCCTCTCTTTGGGGACTCGTGGTGTATCCAGAGCAGCCCACACTTCTTTCTGTGGGGCGTTGGACTGTCCTCATGTCCCAGAACAGGTGTCAGTGCTATAAACCAACCCATTATCTGATCTCCTGGGACAGCCAATTTGGAGAACATTCCTGAACCAACATTCCTGGCCCAAGTGCCAATTACGTACCCTCTTCCTGGGTTCAGGCCATCGTTGGCTTTCCTCGGGGGGGTCTTAAATAGAGTCGCAATGCCCCTCTGGCTCCCATCCACCCTCGCTCCAGGCCCGGCTTGCTTCCGGCCCATTCATGTTTCCAGACAGGCTTTGCTCAAGAAACCCTGCTGCTTGCAAGTCCACGAACACCATTCTGCAAAGCAAAGGAGAGGAAGGCTCCTACGTCAGGTTCCAATCCTCTTTCCAACCTGGCCTAGCAAACTGTGAAGGGAAGGGCTTTGGGACAGACAGGCCTGGGTTTGAATGCGGGCTCAGTCACTTACAAGTCATTTTTGGACATGTGTTTTAATCTTCTGGAACCTTTCTTATCTGTGAGAGGAGGATGTTAAACACAATTCTGAGCTCTTGTGAGCTAAAACTAGGCGCAGTATGAATGCTGCTTGGCACAGAGTGGAGCAGAGGGGTGGGTTACATCTTCCCAGTGCCACCAGCCTGGTCAGGAGTGCTAGCTATATGGCTGGCTGAGTCTTGGTTGGAGCCAAGATGGTGATGGTGATCTATAATGTATGTGAGTGGACACTGAGTGTTTTCCTCAGGAACTGGATGGAGTGTCCTGTGTGGGGTCAGCCAAAAATGAGCTGCTTCAGGCTCTGMATATGGTGGAGGTCACTGGGACACACACATATACGCCTGGCCACACTAGAACTTTGTGCCTGATTTGCTCACAGACCTGCTGAACTTTGCCAAGGAAAGGAAAGTTCCTTTGAGTTGTACAAATGACCTTTGAATCGGTTATCTTCAGAGCCATAAACCTGGTCCCCTAAGCTATAAAAACACCTCCTCTCAATACCTTCTCCCTGCAGCCTGCTCTTYGACCTTCTCCACACACTCACACCAGAACAGAGGCTGTCACCATGACGAGGGACCAGAATGGGACCTGGGAGATGGAGAGTAATGACAACTTTGAAGGCTACATGAAGGCCCTGGGTAAGAGGGAAGAGGGGGCAGGAGGGAAGGGGACGTGGAGAGGACATCAGTCTGGCCCTCTGGACAGATCCATAGACTTGTACGCAAATCCTCACTCCTCACTCCTTACGGCTGTGAAAAAATTAGATAATTTGTGCAAATCCTYGGAGGTTCTATCTCCTTATTTGCAATCTGGGAATAATAATAAATAAGATTCCTTAGCMCAGTGCCTGGCCCACAGAAAACACCCACACACAGACGATATGACCTAACTCGAAAGAAGAACCCGATTGCGTCCTGCCTTGTGGTGGCCATCTTTTGATGACCATTTGGGTCTGATGTTATACACAAATGACCCCTGCTGGCTCCTTTGTCAGCCTTGTAAAGGACACTTAGCAAGCTTTCTCTGCCTAAAGAAAACCAGGCCCACAGAATGCTAGGAGAGGCTTTGTCACGTGGGTCAAACCACCCTCTGCTTATCTGGGACTACCTCTCAGTGTGCCCTGAGTTGACGGTAGGGTGGGTCTCTTGGGGGCTGGCAGGAACACATACCCTATCCAGCTATGAGCAGGTGGGATCAGATGCCGGGGTCCTGCCCTAGCGGGGTCCAGGGAGTCCTGAAGGATGAGTGTCGTCCGCGAAAAGATGAGACAGGAGTCGTTCCGTTCGAGCAATCTCCAGAGAGAGAGCTAAAGCAACTTTCTCTGGGTCCCCTTTTATTACAGTTTTTCTCATCATTATAGATTCAGAATACGTCATTAATTATATAATTTAAAACTTTGCCAAGACATGACATTTCCTTAACCATGATTGAGGGTACATTAATTTACATTTTTCCAGGATATGACCTTCAGTTATATAATTATTAAAAGTACAGAATCATTAATAA